ATGGGTAGGCATACATTCTGACTCTGTAATTTCTTTCAAAGAAATTTTTTCCAAGGGATTTATTCAATAAAAGAAAAAAGCTGGACAAATAAGTGAATGTTCAGTGAAGAATTATCTAATCTAGTAAGAAACTGCAAACAAGTAAATCTCTAGTATCAGGAGTAAAGTTTAATAAAATACAGCCTGTTTGCTTAATAATATATATATGAAGTAAGTGAAAAGAACAGAATGTAAGATACTATCATGTATATATAATTGTATTGTTATTACAATTAAATTATGTAAAATATGTAGACTTGCAGAAGGCAATGGAATTATTATTAAACAATTATTAAATTATTTTAAATTTTTTATGTACATAAAAACATTTCAAGCAATTTAGGAAAGTCTTTTGTTTAAAGGGAGTTGATTATTCCCTTCATTAATAAATATGAATACACCAAATACACCAAAATTATTTAAAATAAATATATCTACATTAGTATCTTCTGATGCTGGCTCAGAGCCCTGTGAACTGAACACTGCCTCCCACATGTGATGAATGTTAAGGGCCTCAAGATGGGGCGATTATCCTGAATTATCTGGGTAGGCTTAATGTAATCACACGGGTTCTTAAAATCTGAGAACCTTTCCAGCTGTGGTCAGAGGGAGATGGGTCCACAGAAGAACGGTCAGAGAGATGCAGTGTTGCTGGTTTTGAAGATGAAGGAAGGGAGCCATGAGTTAAGGAATTATAGACGACCTCTAGAAATTGAAAGGAAAAGAAAAAAAAAAAGCAAGGAAACAAGTCTGATTCTTCTTCAGAGCTTCCAGAAAGTAATGCAGCCCTGTGCATACCTTGATATTAGCCCAGTGAGACCTATGTCAGGCTTCCAACCTACGGAACTGTAAGATACATTTGTATTGTTTTAAGCCACCAAGTTTGTAATTTGTTAAAGAGCTACAGTAGAAAACTAATACTCCCACAGAGTGAGTTCTCAACAAATGCTGGAAGGGGATGGGGAGGTATGAGCTTGAAAACAACTTATTCTCTCTCACAGATAAAACATCCTAGCAATTTTCCTTACTTTGTACACTTTGTTAGGAAACTTTTTTTTTAACATAAAGTAAAAGTAAACTTCATCCTAACTCTTATATAAATTATCTCAATTTCTATATTTGCAACATATAAAAATGCATTCCTGTTATTCAAGTTACATCAGTTAGATCTCAGTCTTTGACTAAAAGGTATAAAACTGTATTTTCAGTTCAGTTGCCTTTAAGAAAAACATGTGGTTATTAATTCTTTTGTCTTCTTTTTATAAGCTATTGGTGCTAACTCTTTCAGTCCCTCACCTCATCCAATAATTAAATATATTTGACCACTTACCATCTTTCAGGAAGTGTTCTGAGCCTCATCTAGAATGATTTAAAAACTCACTTAAGTTACATTTTCATTTTCTTTTACAAAATAAAGTGTTGGATTTCTCCAACTTTTTATAATCAGGAAAATTCATAAAATTACTTATTAAAATGGAATTTCAGTCATTTTACACAGTCCTCCTTGATTATTTAAAAATTAATTTTTATGAGGCTAATAATTTAAAATTATTTTTATTAGGCTAATACAGGTTTCATATGCCTTACATTGGCTAGTCCACTGTAATTTCCCATAATTTTCTAATGACAATGCACTGATTATGAAATTATGAAACCAAGCTCTGTAAGCAATAGCTGGCACATGGGAAGAGACACTCGAGCTTTCCCAGAACTCATGAGATGTGCAGCATGAAGATAATTGGAATTAGAGGCAGTGAGCATGATATCGCCATTTCCAAATGGCAGCAGGGATGGAAGTAGAACTCTTAATTCCCTGTTTAATTTTAAACATAAATGCAAGTTAACATCCATGAAAAAAGCAAGGAAAGGAGTCTCCGATGCTCCGGCAGAGCTTCCAGCAGTGAATAGAGCCCTGTGGACACCTTGATATTAGGTGTCCTATATTAGACATCCCTCTATTTAAGGAGCTGAACAGTGATGAGAATTTTTGCAAATATATTTTAGACGATGAGACTTTGGGAGAAAAACTTTGGCATCAATATATAGACTTCTGGTAGATTATTCCTATTAGTCCCATTCTACAAGGGAGAAGGGACAAACAAAAACCAGGATGCTTGGCCACCACTGAAGCTATTTTTACAGCAAACACGCTGCACAATTGCTCCTTCTAAACAGCCTCATGTAACAATCTGGTCAAGGGAGCCGTGAGACCAGCTGTGGTTAAACAGAGCTGCCGCTCTTCTGTCAGCATCTTCTCCAGGCTCCATGTGACTCTCCCAGGCCTCTTGCCTCTCCTCCGGTTATCAGCAGGAAGAGAGAGTTCTTTTTGTACCGTGACAGCGAGGAACACAACTACATCAGTAACCCCTAAATTCTCCATCCCTGCCTAGTGTCAAGGGCAATTACTTTTCTCCATCCTAAAGGAAGATTTGTCCGATTTGTCCCTTCCACAGTGATAATGATCTTTTAAATGTACAAAACACTAACCAGGGAGACCTTTTTTTGGTTTTTTTTTTTTTTGGTCACACTGCACAGCTTGTGGGATCTTAGTTCCCCGACCAGGGACTGAACCCGGGCCCTGGAAGTGAAAGCGTGGAGTCCTAACCACTGAACCACCAGGGAATCCCCGGAAGATTGTTTTTAATATTCTGCATTTGGACTTTATTTTACTACAGTAGGATTTAAAAGTACACATTTAAAAACCTTCAGTACTTTATTTCTTGGTTCAAATATGCCTTGGGCTATAGGCTACATATATCTATTGAAGATGATAAATGAGAAAACCCAGAAAAATTAATTTGTGGGGAGGGAATAAAATTTTTATTTTCCCTTAGGCTCCATTACGTGGTTTTTATGCATTTCTAGATTATTCCTAATATAATGTGTAAGAGAACTTTCCTCACAGCCAATTTTTATTTATGATGTTTTGTTTTCCGTAATCTCCGGTTGTCAGGTTATGGGAGAATAACCTGCTCCACTGGAAACTCCCTGTATAGTTTGATAAATGTGCTACATTATAATACATTGAAACCAGTCTGGGAGCTTTGAACCACTTAATTACATAATTTGAAGGACTTTCATGAGAAGAAGTTTCACTGCAGATTTAAGAAATAATTGTAGTCTTTTCAATCTGGTTACAACTCTGTTCTCAGATTGCCAAATCATCTCAGCATTCTAGACTTTGTTTCAGAAGCTTCTCCTCTTTATCTAATCTGGAAAAGTTGGAAATAAACAGTTCATACACATTAAGAAAAGTTACTAGAAGTTGCATTACTTCATCTTTACTATTATGCAATTTTATTAAATGTTTCAAAACAACAATGGACTAAGAATCAGAAGAAGCAAATCCTACCCTGGCTCTGCCACCAATTTTGAATTTAAGCAAGTCATTTACTCTCTGTGCTCTATTAAATTTATTAGCAAACCATGGGGTTGGACTGGATGGTCTCTTACATATACTTCTATGGCTAAATTTTTTCTGATGAATTCTGGGGCAAAACTGGAAAATGAATAAGGATTTAATTTGAAAAAGAAAAGAAACTGAAAAGTAAAAAATGTGGAACAAAAGACAAAACTCTTCTGCAGGAAAACCCCAAATGTGTCTTTTGGGAAATGGAAGAGAGAGGAAAACTACAAAGTTAGAAAGTGGACAGTGTAAGAAGACAAGGGACAAGAATTCATGAAACTTTAGGAGGAGATATTTTAGAAGTTCAGGCTTAGGCAAACACACTGATCAAGAGTTAAAGACCTGCCATAAATCTGACTCAGCTCTGCTTCTAGTTTGGGGACAAGTTACCTAACTTTGAATCTTGATTTCTCTTCTTCTCTAAAACATGATTAATACATGCTTACTAAGCATCTTCTCCATCTAGTAGTGCAGTTGTGAAAATTAAAATGAGGTAAGGATAATTAACACCTTCAATCTACACAGCATACCTCTCCCCAAGCCCCAAGCTACTGCACTATTGTATAGGTTTCTAGAAACAGAATGCTTTGAGGTTCAAAGAAAGAATAGGGGACACTTAGGGGAATAGTGCAAGGAAATGAATGTATGATCTATAAGTCTGCTTTCCTTAAATTTCTACCTAGTAGAGTTATCTCAAAAAAACCTTCAAATTTGCACTTTAAAAATGTTTGGTAATGCAGAATTATCCAATCACTACACAGGGGAACTCAAAATTGTAAAGAAGGCTGCAGCCTGCCACCACATTATTTGGTACCTAGGAATTACTTTCTTCTCTCAATTAGTATGAACTGTGAAATCTGTGTGGCTCAGTATAGCTCAGTACATATGTCTAGATAGATATTTATCTTTCTATTAGAATAGTCAAAAAATGTCAGTAACAAGTATTCAAATTCTGGCTGAAAGGGGGAAGGCAAAATCTACTCTATAAAAACATTCATTCCTTGGATTATGGATGATAGATTAGCTTTGTAATACTCATGTCAGAAGAGGTATCTTTATTATATTTCAAACTTTTGTATCTCAGGTATCAAGAGAGTCTAGACAATATGTCTTTGTCAAGGTTTAAGGAACATTAATGTTTACAAATGTTTAGAATTAGGATAGTTTTGTTTTCTTCCAAAATATAGTTTCATTTAAACCCCAAATGCTCTTATCCTACTATCTTACACTCAGAGAGAACCACAGTATTAGTGACAAGTAAGAGTAGCTAAATGGTTAAGGAAGGAATCAGAGATGTGGGCTAAGTTTTGTGTGCAGGGATATTCTCCTCAATATAAAAGAAAATTAAAAACTTAAATGGCCAACAAAAGGACAATGTTCAAATTACGGAACATCTCTCAATGTGCATAATATATAGTATGCTTTCCAATGTTAACATTTAAAATCATGTTTTTGAAGAATATTTAATAACGTGAAGAAATGTTCAGGATGTGAAAGGCGAAAACAAATGTTTATTACATAATATAATCCAATTAAAAAAATTCTGTGTGTATATATAGAAAAATACTAGAAGCAGTTAACTCTGAGTAGGAAATTAGGTTGATTTCTATTTTCTTATCTATATTTTTCTTTGTTTTCCAAATTCTCCACAACAAATGTGTTACTTTCACACTTTGAAAAGAAGCATTAATATTAGAGTACTTGAAAGCTTAGGTATAAAAAATAACCTCCTATATAATTTATTGGCAAAATTTTAGCGCCACAATCCATCCTAGAACCATCACGTGGTCATTTTACGTTGAATTCTTAGGTAGTCAATGTGTGACTAATTTAACAACTAATAGGTAAACAGTCTGACACTCTTACACTGGGTCAAAACATTTAACTTAATAGACAAATTCAGTTTGATTTATTAAAGGGAATGTGATGTTTATTGGTAAAGTACTGGCATCTGAGATTCACGGACAGTACAGCCATGATATGCAAAAGAATCCCCTCTTGTGCCAGAGTAAGTATACAACACAGGCTAATACTGTGATTCTAACCTGATATAACTTCTTATTTAACTTTGTTTCGTGTCAAAATGACACTCAGTTTTAGATCTGTGCTGTGGGAGAACTTTACCTCATAGGGGGATCCAAATAGACACATGATGTACTTGGGATGGGCACTGGGTAAATATGGGCACACTGGGATCTCTTTTTGAATCCATGATCCCCAGCCTCCTTATCTCATTCCCTAGTTAGCTCATCTCTCTCTCTCTCTCTCTCTCTCTCTCTCTCTCTCTCTCTCTCTCTCGCTTTCATTCACCACAGGGGCTATTTTACACATTTTCTACTGTTCTAATTCACATCACAGAAAAAAAAAGCTGTTTAGGGTCTTTTCACCTTCTTAGGACCAAATTCAGCATTGTAGCTCTCCATTCTTCCTTTCCTCTTGTTCAAACAAAAGACGTGTCCTGTCTCCTAGCTAAGACCAGCCTCTGTCTGTGCCCTGGATCCTATCCTTCATGAATGTTAGAAGCCTTATTTTCTCAATTATCTCCTTCCTCTTTTATCTTTAACTTTTGGCTTTTTTCCATTATCATTTTAACATATCTAAATTTATCCTACCTTGAGAAAATAAAACGTCCTGTGGAATTCTTACCTCCCTACACATACTGCTCCAGAAGCTACAGCTGAACTTCTCCAAAGAGTCGTCTATCCTCTTTATCTTCAAATTTATTTCTAAACCTACTATAGCCTGACCTCAGTGCCCATAAATCCTCAAGAAGGGCTTTTTGAAATCCACCAGACACTTACCAGCCTTTCTTGAAACATTCTCTTCCCTAAGATTCAAGTTGCCAAATAAGTTCAGGTTGCCATTACCCAAATATTCTCAAATATTCAGATTACCATTTGTTCTGATTTTCTTACTAATTTTCCTGGTACCTCTCTGAGTGCCCCTTTGCAGTCTCCTTTATGGCTCCTATTTCTCCATCCATCCTGAAAGTGTTAGCATTTTTCAGTCCTATATCATATAATGGGAGGGAGCTACTACGCATAAACTCATTGTGCGATTTCTTCTAGCCCAATGACTTCAAAACCCATCTATGTGCTCTAGGCTGTACCTCTTCTCTGAGCTCCAGATTGATTGATTTAGCTGCCTAAAGCCCAGATCTTCCTAGATGTCTGACATCAAATTCAGCAGAGGTTCAAACTGAAATCATTATCTTCTTCAAAGCTGCTCCTCCACTAATCTTCTCTGTCTCAGTAAACCCAGTCCCCTGAAACAGAAACTGAAGAGTTATCCTTGCTTCATCTTGATTTATTTATCTCCATATGTTCCTCTCTGTCTAGCTTTTTCTCTCTCATTCCACCTCATTAGTCATATTCCTCACATCCAATCAATCACAAATTCTCCAATGAACTTCCTAATACTTTTAAAATCTATCACTTCTTTCATTTTCACTCCCATTGACCCTAAATTCAGACCGTCATCATCTCTTATATAAACTACCACAGTAGTCTATTACATGATTCGTTAGCCTCCATTCTGGGCCCCTCCGTGCTGTTTACAAGATGTTCCTGAAATGAAAATGTGACTGTGTTATTCCACTTTGAAAAATTTTTTCAATGGCTTTTAATTGCCCTGAGTATAAAGTCTAAACCCTTTAAAATGGGCATTGAAGGCTCATTATCTTTTGGCCCCTGTAGAGCTTTCTAGCCTAAATTCTCACCATTTGTTACTCCCACACCTATATTCCAATTACTTTGAACTTCTTTGAGTTCTTTAAAAGTGCCAGTTCTTCTTTCTTCTAGACTTTTATAAATGTGGATCCCTAGGTCCTATAACTCTCACTCTCCTCTTCTTTACTTGACTAAGTCCAACTTATTTTTTGTGTATATTTGAAAAATCAATTTATCTGATGTTTCCCCTGCCAAAAGCCTAGCAGATAATTCGTAATATGTACTCCCAAAATTCTTGACTACTTTTATCACTCCTACACACTTTATATTGTTGCTTAATTGCCAGCCTCTTCTAGTAGATGAAAATTGTTACAAGAGTAGGGCTTACTTCTATCCTTTTAGGTATATCTCAGGACAGACCTAGCCCAGAATATATTACACTGTAGATTTATAAATAGTTTTGAGGGACTTCCCTGGTGGTCCAGCAGTAAAGAATCTGCCTTGCAATGCAGGGGATGCGGGTTCGATTCCTGGTTAGGGAACTAAGATCCCACATGCCGCAGGGCAACTAAGCCTACATGCCACAACTACTGAGCTTGCATACCTCAACTAGAGTCCACATTTCACAAACTACAGAGCCCATGCACTCTGGAACCCGCACACCACAACTACAGAGCCCACGTGCCCTGGAGCCTGTGTGCCACAGCTAGGGAAGAGAAAACCCACACGCCACAACTAGAAAGAAGCCCGTGTACCACAACAAAGAGACTGCGTGCCACAATGAGAGATCCTGCATGCCTCAACAAAGATCCTGCATGCCGCAACTAAGACCCGACACAGCCAAAAATAAATAAATAAATAATAAGTAAATAAATCTTTAAAAAATAAACCAATAGTTTTGAATTAACAAATGAATGAATAATAATAGTAGAGTGTATCCTACTATTATTAGTACCCATTTGTGGGTAACAGATTTTAGTTTCACTTAATGAACAAATTCATTAATATTTATCCTTATTCAAGACTCTGGTCTCTTTTTTTTCCTTTCTGTTATTATAATTAGCCAAGATGACAGCTTCAATTTAGGTATTAATAGAACTAAGCACACCTTATTACTCATAATTTTAACTAGAATGTTCATAGCTACAGAAGTAACCTGGAAGAGGCTGGAGGGTTGGGCTATAGAATCAACAGGAGAAGCAAATATTTAAAATAAAACAGAGGTGTGGGTAAGATGATGGAGTAGGAAGACGCTGAGCTCACCTCCTCTGATAGGCACACCAAAATTACAACTTTTTACAGAATGCTATCTATGAGAATTGCCTGAAGACTAGAGAAAAGATTTTCCACAACTAAAGAGATAAAGAAGGAACCACAACAAGACAAGTAGGAGGGATGGAGATGCAGTATAGTCAAGACTCATACCCCTGAGTAGGTGATCCATAAACAGGAGGATAATTACAACTGCAGAAGTTCTCCCCAAGGACTGAGGGGTCCAAGCCCCACATAGGGCTCCTCAGCCCAGGGGTCCTGCACTGGGAGGATGAGCACCTAGATGTTTGGCTTTGAAGGCCAGCAGGGCTTGTGTATGGGAGAGCTACAGGGCTGTAGGAAACAGGGACTCCACTCTAAAAGAGTGCATGCAAAATCTCACACTCTCCAAATCCCAGCTCAGAGGCAGGCATTTGAAAAGAGCCTGGGTCATACCCATTTGCTGATCTTGGAGAGCCTCCCAGAGAGGGAGGAGGCAACTGGGACACCCTCTGGGGACAGCAGCAGATTCTGGCAGCAGCCATTTTGGGGAGCTTGTTCTACCACAAGGAAACTGGTGCTGAAAAGTGCCATTTTGGAATCCTCTCTTGGCCTATTAATGCCAGGGGTTTATCTGCCCACCAGTGTGTTGCACCAGCCCAGACCCAACCCCCCCCCAACCCCAGTTCCCCACAGCCAGCAGCCCCAGGACCTGGTCCTGCCACCAGCAGTCTAGCAGCCACCTGGGTCAGAGCCAGCCTTGCCTACCAGTGTACCCATGGTAGTGGGCCCTGCCACAATGGAAGAGCCTACACAGCCCACAGAGAGGGTACCCCTAGAGCATATAGCTCTGGTGAGCAGATGGGAGTGTGCTGCTGGGCCCCATAGGACATCTCCTCCATAAGGCCACTTCTCCAAGATCAGGGAATGTAACCGACCAACTTAATACTTAGAAATAAACACAGAGAGTTAGGCAAAATGAGAAGATAGAAGAATATATTCCAAACAAAGGAACAAGACAAAACTTCAAAAAAAAAAAAAAAAAACTGAAAGAAGTGAGTGGACACAAGCAAGGTACCCAATAAAGAGTTCAAGATAATGATCATAAAGATGCTCAACAAACTCAGAAGGATGGATGAACACAGTGAGAATTTTAACAAAGAGTTAGAAAATACAGAGAAGAACCAAACAGTGGTGAAGAATACAATGACTGAAATAAAAAATACACTAGAAAGCATCAAGAGTAGAGTAGATGATACAGAGGAAAGGATCAGTGGACTGGAAGACAGAGTAGTGGAAATCACTCAAGCTGAACATAAAAAAGAAAAAAGAAGTTTAAAAAAATGAAGATAGTTTAAGAGACCTTTGGGACAACATCAAGCATCCCAACATTCACATTATAAAGGTCCAAGAAGGAGAGAGAGAGAAAAAAACAGAAAACTTATTTAAAGAAATAATAGCTGAAAACATTCCTAAACTGGGAAAAGAAACAGACATTCAGGTCCAAAAAGCACAGAGTCCCAAACAAGATGAATCCAAAGAGGTCCACATGAGGACACATTATAATTAAAATGGCAAAAATTAAATATAAAGAGAGAATCTTAAAAGTAACAAGAGAAAAGCAACCAGGTATGTACAAGGAAACTCCCATCAGACTATCAGCTGTCTTTTCGGTAGAAAATTTTCAGGCCAGAAGGGAGTGGCATGATATATTCAAAATGATGACAGGAAAAAACTTACACCCTGAAAGGCTATCATTCAGATTTGAAGGAGAGATAAAGAGTTTATTGGTGCTAAAAGAGTTCAGCACCACTAAACTGGTTTTACAAGAAATGTTAAAGAGACTTCTCTAAGAAGAAAAGAAAAAATCACAATTAGAAACATGAAAATTACAAAAGGAAAAATCTCATTGGTAAAGGCAAATATACAGCAAAGGTAGTAGATCAACTACTTATAAAGCTAGTAGGAAGGTTAAAAGACAAAAGTAGTAAAATCATCTATATCCACAATAAGTAGTTAAGGTATATACAAAACAAAAAGATGTAAAATATGATGTCAAAAACATTAAAAGTGGTAGAGGGTAGTAAAAGTACAGGGTTGTTAAAATATGTTTGAACTTAAGAGATCATCAACTTAAAATAATCATGTATAACATAATAAACATGAACCTTGTGGCTATCACAAACCAAAAACCTATAATGGATACACTCACAAAAAAGAGAAAGCGATTTAAACATAACACTAAAGATAGTTATCAAATAAAAACAGAAGAGAGCAAAAGAAGAAGAAAGAAAGAAAAAACTATAAAAATGACCAGAAAACAATTAACAAGTATATCTATCAATAATTAATTTAAATGTATATGGACTAAATGCTCCAATCAAAAGACATATAGTGACTGAATGAATTAAAAAAAGAAAAAAAGACCCATACATATGCTGCCTGTAAAAGAGTCACTTCAGATCTAAAGACACACAGACTGTAAGTGAGGGGATGGGAAAAGGCATCCCATGCAAATGGAAACAAAAAGAAATGTGGGGTAGCAATACTTATAAAAGGGACAAAATAGACTTAAAAACAAAGACTGTAGCAGAGACATAGAAGGACATTACATAATGATAAAGAGATTGATATAACAATTGAAAATGTATATGCACCCAACATAGGAGCACCTAACTACATAAAGCATATATTAACAAAAATAAAGGGAAAAATTTGCAGTAACACAATAATAGTAGGGAACTTTAACACCCCACTTATATCAATGTATAGAACAGCCAGACAGAATACTGATAAGAAAGCACTGGCTTTAAATGACACATTATACCAGGTGGTCTTAATAAATATATATAGATCATTCCATCTAAAAAACACAGAATACACATTCTTTTCAAGTGCACCTGGAAAATTTTCCAGGATAGATCTCATGCTAGCCAAAAAACAAGTCTCTATAAATTTAGGAAAACAAATTATATCAAGAATTTTTTCTGACCACAACACAATGACACTAGAAATCAACTAAGAGAAAAAAGCTGCAAAAAACACAAACACATGGAGGCTAAACAAATGCTACTAAACAACCAATGGGGGACTGAAGCATTAAAGAGGAAATTAAATTCCTGGAGACAAATAAAAATGGAAATACAACAATTCAAAATCTGTGGGACATAGTAAAAGTAACTCTAAGAAGGAAGTTTATAGCAATGCAATTCTATCTCAGGAAACAAACAAACGGAAATCTAAAATAAACAATCTAACCTTACACCTAAAGGAAGTAGAAAGTAAAGAACAAACAAAACCCAAAGTTATTAGGAGGAAAGAAATAATAAAGATTAGAGAAGAAATAAATGAAATGGAGACTAAAAAAACAATAGAAAACAGACTCATCGATACAGAGAAAAATTGGTTGCCAGAAGGGAGGGAGGTGGGAGCACAAAATAGTTGAAGGGGATTAAGAGGTACAAACCTTCAGTTATATAATAAATAGTAACAGGGATGTAATATACAGCATAAGGAATATGTTCAACAATATTGTAATAACTTTGTATGCGACAGATGGTTACTAATGTATGCAAATGTCAAATCATTATATAGTGCACCTAAAACTAACATAATATTGTATGTCAACTACATTTCAATAAAAAATA